CAACTGGCGCCTATCCCCGTACAACAAGAAATGAAAGTCGAGTTGGTATGTAGTTGCGACCAAGTTAGAAGACATGCAGTTGCGTGCCTAGTGTGGGACATGCAACTGGGCTACCTCTCTCCCTCGTTGTCGGCCTCTCCGACAAAACAAAGGCCCCTCCAGTTGCGACCAAGCTAGAAGACATGCAGTTGAGTGCCCATTGTGGGGCATGCAACTGGCGCCTCTCCCCATACAAAAAGAAATGGAAGTTGAGTTGCAACCAAGTTCTAACACATGCGGTTGCGACCAAACCAGAAGACATGCAGTTGCGTGCCTAGTGTGAGACATGCAACTGGCCCCTCCGCCAGTAGTCAAGTTGGAACCAAGTTATAAAGACATTTAGTTGTGTGCCTGTTGTGGGGCATGCAAATGGCCCCATCTTCTCAACGCCGCCCCCTCTGACAAAACAAAATGTTCCCACCCCTCTACTACTTCAGATGTGACCCCCACCCCTCTCCTACCGTTCCACTTACAAACAAACCATTCCGAGAGAGATGTGGCGCCTCCATCCGCTCTCCCTACCAGCGATGCGACACTCACCGCTCTCCGACTGTTGCCAAGGTAGTTGGGGTGTGTGCAAGGTGCACTTGCAGTCATGGGTGTGTTTATCTGTCGGACCATCCTCACTTATGAAAACCCACTTACAAAACTTCCTCCTCCCCAAACTACAATTAAAAATTGTTATAGAAAAATGGTATTTTTAAATTACATTGTTTCCTAAAAAAAGAAACACACACCCATGCCCTCATGTGCTAAACACGCACATGGCCTCATGTGCTAAACACACACACGGCATAAAGACAGCCTGAAACATATATGCTTCATCATTGGAAAAAATAGAAAAAAGGATTTCAAACGTTCTGTTAATAAAAACAAAAGTTTACACAAAGAGCTTACACAAAAAAAGACAAATTAAAAAGCAGTTTCAGATTTAAAACTAGCAAAAATAAAAAGAAAAAACCATTTCAACATTTAACAGATTTCAAAAAAGGTTTTAACTTATAGTTAAACTAATAAAAACAAAAGTAAAACAATTTCAGAATTAACAGTTTCATTAATGCAAAAAATTCCAACAAAAAGTGCTTGCACCTTTTACTTAAAAACTAAACATGCAAAAACAAAAACTGAAAAAAAAACAGTGAGAAAATGGATACATACCAATACCATGTTTCCCAAAAGAACATTAGTCCTCATGAGGCGGTGCACAAATGCCAACCCTATGAACCCATTGTTGAGCGGAAGCAGCCTATCTAGATCTGACTCCTCTTCCTGAGTCGACTCAAGCCCCCCTAGTGCGAACAATATCATCACCGTCAGCATTGTACGTTGTCAGCTTGTATATCCTCGTCTTCTTCATCTGAGACTTCCATGTAGTCATTCTCACCCTCAGATCCTTCATCTTCGGCACCATTTCGAATTGAATCACACAGAAAAACTGCCCTTGGGGAAGGCTGGTCCAAGTAGAAGAGAACTAGCTGACCCTTCCCCAACTTGTTGTTGGCAACAAATTTCCTCCATCCACTACCATACATTGCGCTCTTTGTGGGCCCCTTGTGACACTTAACGGTGTATGTTCGTTTGTTTGCCTTAAACTTCAGTGTATCCCCTGTCAAGTCGTTGAAACCAACTCTTTCGTTGAATGGCACAACCTGTTATGTGTTGAACACACAAAAAAGAACAACAACAAAAACAATCATCAAAATTGCCTAAAAAAATGAATTGAGCACTGATATAAAAGTCAAAAAGATGCAAAACAACCTAAAAAATCAGTCTAGAACTAGCATAGGTTACTACACATGACATAAACACCCATCTAGTTCAAAACTGTGGGACAAAAACAAATATCAACCTTCAACAACAACAATTAATTCTGTGATGATAAGTGCCTAAAAAATAAAGACCAGAACAATAGAAAAAACAAAATAAAAATAAAAATATATAGGTTGCAAAGTTACCCCTGCGTTTTTGAACTCATTCCAGACAAACATGCTCATCCCACTTGTCCTGCTCTCGCGGTAGCAAGGGCTCAAACAAACTCTGCACACCATCTCCTGCGCCGCATAAAAAAGCGATAAGTTTGTGCTAGTGAGATGCATACATATTGAGCTAAAAAATGATTTTTAGAGGAAAAAACTTGTATCCTTCCGAAGAGAAAGATTTCGAGATAATGATGAGATATCATTGGCGTCGCCACTAATGACCAAAAAAAGAAAAAATAATGATTTGCGATGTGGGGATCCTTCAAAAAGACCATATTTTCTTGATTTCATATAGAAAAAGGAATGAACATCATACTGATTCATACGGGTTTTTGGCAGAAAAAGGAAAAAGAAACTAAAATAAAACATGCTGTTGCTGGATACTTACTTTCATTAATCATTCCTTTTTAAAATAGATAAAAGTATCAGCAAAAATAAAAAAATAAAACAAGGCCACTCCCTAGTGATAGATTTCAGCAGTAATATGTACTATTTTACATAGAAAAGTTTCAGAAACAACAAGCTACTGATTATATAGGGGCTATCAAAAACAAATGAACGTACCTACTCCTACTGACACATTCAGTAAATCAGTTGTAAAATCTTTCTCTTGTTTCGATAGAATTTTTTTCAAAAACATGCTACTGATTTAGCAAAAAGAGCGTAACACATCATCTATATTGTCACCCCCACTGACGTACAAAAAGGGTGTAAAAAAATGAACGATACACTATGTACAGAGGATGCCGATAAAACCTACTACCTACAAGCATAAAGAAGAAAAAGTGGTCTTGATAACCCTACTTCTAGTACAATCCAAAAGAAATAGAACACTTCATCTGAGTCTATTGGGCTACTGAAAAAAAAGATTAGTACTACTAGTTGTAAAACTAAACTTTACTGGATAGTTCAAAAAACATAGGGAAAAAAGCAAAAAACTGGATTAGATAAGTGAATCTAGCTGTAACAAAAAAGAAACCAGCATCATACTCGCATCCACCACACCCACATTGCCGATCGACGCGCGTGAGCGAGAGACACTATTGTGCATTTCAACACGAAAAAACCCCCTAAAAAAGTATAAACTATGGACACAATTCTCTGCTTGAAACTACTAATAAGATATTTAATACAAACAAAAAAAAAGAACGGTACCTCATCTTGCGGGGGTAAGTATAGACATACAAAAATCCTATCTACTCTACTAGATACATGGGCACAGTAACAAAACTCCTACAGTGCGCCAGACATGCACTTAGCTTGGGCGAGGACCTCATGTTGCTGACTCACAACAAGCCCCTGGACTAAAATCTATTTTCAGACTAAGAAGCTAACAGAAAAAAGTGAAACCAAAAAGACTAAAAAGTGAGGTCCCTTTGAGACACTACAAAAAAGGCCTAGCAGCCGCTCACTCTGGCCGGCCCCTTTGAGACACTACAAAAAATACAACTTGATCTTGACCGTACAAACTACCACCTCCAAATCAATCCTCCAATCTATTGATTGCTTGAACAAATAAGGATACAAAAAAAAGCCTATAAATCCTGAGTCCATTATATACTTGAATATACTATTCTACACTTGATCCATAAACAAAACTACCCCCAATCCCCTACAGATCTACGGTGAAGCATCAAACAAGAAACAAGACAAAAAAAAGGATGGAGAAGAAAAACTAGGGGGGACTCACTCCAACAGCAGCGCCGGCCATCCTCTCTCTCTCGTCCTCTGATTCGTTGAAGAGAACCTTGCAGCTCGCCCTCTCTTCTCCCCCTCCGGATTTCTTCTGATTTGAGATTGGGGAATGGAGAGAGACGATGAGGAATGAGCTCTGACTCCCTGTTCCCCTCTTCTTAATCACCACGGGGGTGGCCGCTTCCCCTTCCTCTCTTTAATGCGGCTCAAAAAACAAAACGCAAAAAACAAACAAACAAAAAGCCCGCACGGAAACACAACCCAGCCCACAAAACGCTCACGCGGGATCGCGGTTCGACAGAAAAACAAACAAACGGTCCGGTCCACGCCTTAGACAGGCCGAAACGAGGGACAACCCGCCCCAGTGCGAATCTACACGCTGCACAGATCGGACGGCTGAGCAGTCGACGAAGTCTCAGTCGACTGTTTTTTAGCAGCGCCGAAAGAAAAAACCTCCCTCTCTTTGCTTACGAGTTAAGGTTTCATTCCTTATGAGTTAAGGTTGGATTGCTTATGAGTGAAGATTTCACTAAATCCATCGTGTTTAAATGCATGCAGTCCATTGTGGCAATCCAGTCCAAAAGATCCAACTACTCGTTTGGTATCCCCCATCGCCAAAAAACTACTGTACTATCCATCTCCATTCCCTCAGCGTCAATGGTAGGCCAGGACGTCGCCGACGCCGTGAAGGACCAGGCCGCGCTCTGCCTGCTCCTCCTCCGCCACCTCGGAAGCCTCGACGAGGGAATGCCCACCACCAACCTCGCCTTCGATCTCACCGATCTCCTTCCACGCAGTGCTCTCCCTGCTGGCCGCGGGCGCCTCCGGCGCCACGCGCGACCAGATCGTCACCTTCCTCGGCCCCGCTGGCGCAGAGGCACACGCCGCGCTCGCTTCCATGGTTGCATCCTTCGTCCTCGCCGGCCGGGGTTTGGCCCAGTCCCACGGAGCCACCGGCGTCTGGGTCGACGCCTCCCTACGCCTCAATCCTACGTTCGCCAACACGGCCGCCGCTGTTTACCAGGCCGACGCGCGATCGGTGGACTTCAGCAACAGGCCCCGGGAGGCGACGGCGGAGATTAATGAGTGGTTCGAGAGCAAAACACGCGGCCTCACCAAGAACATCCTCTCAGAGCACGATTGCGACGGCTCCACGTCGCTTGTCGTCGGCAACTCGGTCTTCTTCAGCGGCCACTGGAACGCCCCCTTCTTCCCGGAGGCCACCGAGGAAGGCCCCTTCTACGTCAACGCGTCGCCGGAGCACACCGTCCGTGTGCCGTTCATGAAGGGGAGCCCGTTTCAGCAGGTCGGCGTCCACCCCGGCTTCAAGGTCCTGCGCATGCCTTATCGTGGTGACGGCGGCGACGGCGAGCCGTTGTTCGCCATGTACATCTACCTCCCCGACAACCTGGACGGCCTGCCCGCGCTCGCGCGAAGGATCAGCGCCAGCCCCGATGCGCTCCTGCACAGGTCGGTCGTGCCGGAGCAGGTCGTGCCGTTGGGCAAGCTCAGGATCCCCAAGTTCGAGGTGACGCTGAGGGTGGAGGCGTCCCAGATGCTGCGTAATCTGGGGCTGGAGCTGCCGTTCCGTCGCTCCGGCGGCTCATTCTCGGAGATGCTGAGCCCGCCGGCGGCTCCGGTGGCCGTGTCCTCCGTGGTCCACCATTGCGTCGTAAAAGTGGACGAGAGGGGGACCGTGGCCGCCGCAGGCACCGTGGCGATGTCCGCGGGGTTTGACATGGTACGTGATCGCCCTGTGGACTTTGTGGCAGATCATCCCTTCGCCTTCTTCCTCATGGAGGATGTCAGTGGCGTGGTGATATTCGCAGGCCATGTCATCAACCCTTTGCCACTGATGGATGGATTACCAGCTCTGCTCTGATAGTAACTGAATTATTTGTATCCTTGTTGGTGTAACGGTGGAATCAATTTGATCTTGATTTGTACTCTTAACAGTGGGAAGGGATTACTAGTTCAGGAATCCCGTTGCTGCACAGACCGGCTCTCCATCTCTTCCATTCATATATAACCAGGAAATAATCTACATACACTACCCCAAAGAGACTTTTTCGTGACGGTTTATAATATTCGTGAAGGTTGCAAGTGCTCCTTCAGGAACGTGCGACGTTCGTGACGTGAATGGCGTACCGAGGCGAATGGGTCGAGTCAATCCTGAAGGGCCGCATATTAACCTTCAGGAATACGAGAAGCCTTCAGGAACGTGGCCCATATACGTGAAGGGAGCCGATCCACGTCGGGAATAATATCTTGCGCACGTACGTGACGGTACACCGCCTTCAGGAACGTGGAATTTTGGCTAGGAGCGAGCAAGGCGCGCCATTTTTCCGCTCGCCAGTAGTTTTCGCGCCGGTTGTGCCCCCATCGCTGACGTGGATGGGCCCAACGTCAGGAACGACTGGTCAAAATCCCTAAAACCAACTCCTACGCGTGCCCATCCCCTGTTTTGCATCTCGCCGCCCCTCCTCCAAACCCCCATGGCCGCCGCCCCCTCTTCCCAATCCCCCATGGTCGTCGCCTCCCGTCCGGTGCCGCCGCACCACACAGCCGGCGGTTGACCCCACACCGCTGCTGCTCCCACTCCTCCAGCGCCATCTCCCCCCATCGACCGCCGCCCTGTCGCCTCCGTCGCCGGCCAACGCTGCGCCGTCGACGTCCAGCCACCCCTCGTGCGCCCTCCAGCCATTCTAGCGGCGCCTTCATCCCCGACGGCCGGCGCCCCTCGCAGTCTTGTAGTACAGTGCCCCTCGGAGACTCGCAATACAGCGCCACTTCGATCCCCATCGACCGGCGCTTCCAGCGGCGCCCCATCGACGTCTAGCAGCCCCCCTCGTCGTCCAGCCACTCCAACGCCTCTGCATCGACCGACGTGTCCTCGTCTTCCAGATCCGACTCACTTCCTCGCCCTCTGTTTCCCTTCCAGTCCAGCGCCTCCAAATCGACCAAAAAAGGTAACAGCTTGTAGGCCTTTCATGTTTAGTAATAGCAGAGTTCCCTAGTAACAGGAGGGGTCACTGTTTAGTATTTGACACTTTTCTTGAGGTAAAAGATGCTATTTTTTGTTGTTCTTTTGAAAAGATTGGCTGCAGCATCACTAGAGACTGTGATTAGTATATGATTCAGTTTTAAATAATTTGTTTTATGGTCCCAGTGCAAAGGAATTGATATTTTAGTTCCCATATGTCTATGTACAGAAGGCCAAATCAGGACGGTGTAGTTCTACGAAGACCAAGTTCGAGGAGTGATATTCTTGCACCGCAGCACTCTCCATTGACAGGTCCAATGTCCACTCTTCCACATCTCTATGCTTGTTTATGTAATTTCTTCATTGCCATGTTAGATCATTAACTGTTATACATTCCAAATTATGCAATAACAGCATTATTCAATGACGGAGCGTGGGTGGATGTATAGTGGTTGGACTCATAGTAAATCAACTGATGAGTGGTATAATAAGACAAAAGAATTCATAGATTTTGCCTTCTCTATGCCAAGTGTAGTCTAGAATGGAAAGATTAAGTGCCCGTGTGCTAAATGTCGAAACTATGAGAGCAAGATCAAGAAAATGAAGAGTGTATTTGAATGCCAAGAGGAAGAAGAGGAAGATAGAAGGAAAAAGAGAAAGAAAACAAAGAGTTTATCTGAATGCTAAGCAGACTTATAAGAAAATAAATGATGTACTCTTATCTGTTGCTATTTAGACTTATAAGAAAAATATATGTTGTACTCTTATCTGTTGCTATTTAGGATTGCAATTATTTTTCAAATCAGCTTGCAGTTTCATTTTCTACATAATTGATGTTCATTTGGTTTTCAAATCTGTTTTCAGTTTGCCATTTCGTTTTGTACATAAATTATGCAGATTTTTTCTTTATTTAGTAATCTTGTATTTAGTTGTGATCAGTTTGCTATGGATCTAACCTGTTGTCTTCATAAATACTTATAATTTGTGATAACATGTTGCAGGATATGGCAGGCCATCGCCACCGACCTAAAAGAATAGTCGCACAAGCTCATTAACCAAGTGATGAGACTCAAGGGAACAACAATGAGAATGGTCCCTCCTGCAACAATGGGAGTACCTACAGCAATGATAGTGGTGTAACAACTAAGAAAAGGAAGGGGCGGACACGCACCCAACTAAAAAGGCCACCAAATGGCATTCACATTGCAATTCAACCCAAAGGTGACAGTCACTTTGAAGGAGATAAGGGGATAGGTGGCCAGATTACTGCACTTCTCAAACGTGAATACCCGTCCATTATCAAGGAGAAGAATAAGGAAGGTGTGGAAATCAAGCGTCATGCATCTTCTTGGGAAGATTATTACATTAACAAGGTTACTGAAGGTGAAAATATTGGGGAAGCAGCTGCACATCGTTTGATGCAGGAGTTTTGGGTAAGTACTAATGCTACCTAAATGAGTTCCCTTTTAAAATATGCTGGAGTGCAGTACCTTTTTGTGTACATCATTGCATACTTTCGAAACCAATAGTAAACATAGATGTAATCTAAGTTTTTTGTCTGTGTAGAGTATATACAAACTAGTTGATGATTCTCCTGCCCAAATAATTGAAGTTGATCGTATTCTTGAAAATTCTGCAAAGAGACAATTTAGGCAGATGTGGTACCAAGCCCGTAAGGAAGCCGTCAAACTGTACTATAAGGATATTGTTAAGGAGCCCATCAAAGATCATGAAGCATGTCAAAAAGAGCTTACCAAAAACCAATACATGCAAGCTCAGCTTTATTGGTGCATTGATCATGAAGTGTGGGAAAGCATATGTGACTATTGGTGCTCCTCTAAATTCGAGGGGTTGCGGAACCTTGGCCGAGTGTCACGCTTCAAGTCAGAGGATATTGCACAAAATCGGGGTGGTTCACGATCATTTGTTCAGACCCAAAGCATGTTGGTAAGTTGCATTTAGTTTCATGTGACTTATGAGTACGGGTTGTTTGTTGAAAGAGCATATTCTCTTACGTAGGGAAAAGAGCATGGGCTTGCAGCAGCAACAAACATGAACACTTACAAGTGCATGAAGGCAGGAGTTAAAAATTGTACCGAGAGTGGAGAAAGTGGCCCCATCAACAACACTAAGGTCAACGAGCGTCTTGTAAGTTCATGCATGTTTGCTCTGCCTTCCGAACTTCAAAAGTTGTTAATCTGAAATTAATAGCGAGATATTGTTATTCTTCATTGTTTCAGAACACCTATTACACAGCTCTGAAAGCAGCAGATCCACTACATTGGAAGGACCGTGATCTCGATCCAGAAATCATGTACTCCTCCAGTGGTGGCATGCCCCATGGGCGACTAGCAATAGGTGATGGTGCTATAAAGAAAGCAGTGGTAGTTGCAAAAGCTAGAGAGAATGACACAAGGCCATCAAACTCCATATCATACCATTGTTTATTGAAGGAAAATGCTCAACTTAAAAGGCGCTGCAAGAATAATTTTGTTCTGAGCAAACATGTACAGGTATTGCTCATCTTTTACATAGATTTGCTTTGATTGCATTATGGATCTTGTTGATGGTTTGCACATCGATTTCACCATTTATTGCACTGTAGGGGTTTTATGGCAAGCTAGGATGGGAAGTACCCGAAGATCTTCTTGCCTACCAAGATGAGCTGATGGATGGCGGTGATCTGGTATGTACACCACGACACTCAACCCCTCTATGCAACAAACTTGAGCCTGTTCTAATCACAAATATCATGTTCTATGATAATACCATTGACTAGCCTTGTTCAATTTTAGACTATACTTGCGATTTCATTTCCATGTACTCCGAGTTCTAAATTAGACACTGAAGCTACATAATCTCTTGCATGTCAAATTGTACAGTAGATCTGAATTGCTTGAATAGGTGCAAGCTTCTGACCACGACTTCACTCTCTATTTGATCTAATGATCACTATACCAGTTAGCGTTTTTCATATTACACAAGATGTTGCTGCACTTCATATCTTCCACATTTTTTATCTGATCTCAGCAAGATAACTTGGGCTTTTGGCTTGTTTACATCTGTTACTCATGTGCTTTTATCTACTAACCATGCACTTGACTAGCGTATAAAGTGAGAATACTCTTTCTTTTTCCTGTTTCACAAAACAGATGGGATAGAGAGAATATATCACCTAATACAATTGTCTGTAGTGAATATTAGGAAAATCAATCTATGGCAATCAGTTGCTCCTGCTTTATTTATAGCCTGTTCTAATACTTGTAAAATGTGCAAGTTCTGCTTTAGTGTGTGTTCGCTGTTTTACTTCACTATGCTAAAATCTGTTGCATTAACACTTTGCAGGTGAATGAAATACCCCAGGCCCAAGAGGATGGTGGTACTCCAATGGCAGATTCTTCACATGATGAAAGGCATGTTGATGCTGGTACTCAAATGGATGATCATGGTTCTGGTCCGACACATGAAAATCATTTAGGAATGCCATAGTTATAATTAGTGCTTGTACTGGTAACTATGTGCACGGACCCTTTTATTTGTCAATCGCTACTACTGATGGAAATTTAGGACTCTAGTATGTCTTTTGGTCTGGCTAAGAACTAGTGTTAAGTTGAGCTTTTGGTAATTATGCGAATCTGGTGAACATGGAGGTTTGTGTAATGGGTATATATTGTGAGCTATGAATGGGATGCCATCTTAAACTAGGCTATGTGACCTTTGTTTGTGCAAGAATATCAATTGTTGTACCACAATTGGCTGTGAATATCAGTAATTCAATATTATTTTGATTTTTTGGGGGTAAATAATCATTCCTGACGGGGTCACTGTGCTACCATGTTTTACTTTCCTGACGTAGCCAGCCTTCATGATTAGGAGGTGCTCATTCCTGAAGGCGGCCT